ATATATATATATATATATATATATATATATATATGCCTTACAAAGTAATGTATGTTTTTAGCCTTATTTTAAAGAAAACTATAAGAATCCTACAGCTGAAAAACAATGGCTACCACTAAATTTTGGTGGGGCATTCTTGGAGGAGGGGTTCCAGGACCACAGAAATGGGGTTGAGGACTACATGGGGCCTATACGTTACCCCTCTTGCTCTGAAGGTTAGAAATGAGCCAAAGCATATTGGCATTCATTCACTAACTGTAAACATCATGTAGAATTGACCACTCTTCTCACACTTTTTAGATGGGATTTAGTAGTCTGTATGAATGGAAGCTTCCACATCTTCTTTCAGGTGGCAGTACCTATAATACATTACAAGAATCAAATGTGGAACATAAGGGGCATCAACTTACATGACTTTGGAGAAATTTCTCTCCCTTCCACCTCCTTTATAATAAACCAGTTCTTGACACTTTGAGCCTACATTTCAGATGAAGAAAGGAAGAAGTATGATTATCAACATGACGGACTGAATTAAAACTCAGACGCAGTAACCTAACTTCAAGCAATGTACCACTATGTCAGATGGAGAACTATAATGTGTTGTTATAGATATAAGACCCGATCCAAAGAGTGAGATATCAAGTGAGGTTTCTGAGATTTCCAGATAGGCACATGTGTGTACAGAAAATTGAGCACAGATTCAAATACTAAAAAAAGCTGTTGTCGAGAAAAAATATAAAATGGTTGTACTTACTCATTTTAAAAGGGTTCTTTAAATTATAGTATCAGATATGTCATCCAGACATATAGGATGCTCACTGACTGAGAATATATCCAGCTGAACCTGTAGTGGTCATTATTATACTAAGCTTGTTGCTGAATCTGTATAAAGAATGGTTTAGAGAAAGGGTGGAATGTTGATATTTTGATCATTTGTTATTTTATATGAAATTGGTTGCATTGTATCTTGCAAGATGTTGCAAGAACAAACTAGGTTGTAAGTGGAGTACTGGATATTTAAAATAATTTATTGATGCAAATGAGAGCTCATATCCAGGTTCTACTAATTCTTTGCTGGTTGGAATGCACATGAGAATTATCCAACCTGTTATTTTATAAATTATAGATAATTTGCATTTTATCACATAAATAGCATTCTACTACTACATTCAGTCCGAAAAATAAAAAGTTATTAATAAGAGTATTTGTTGAACAATCAGTATTACATAGCACCATATCAAGGAAAGCCTTCACATGTATATAGACACATGCAAAGACACACAATTCAGAGTTAAAAAAATAAATCTGAAGGTACATTTTTATTTGTTATAATTTACTGAAGGTTGATAGATCATAAATACATAAAATTAGGCATAATGGAGAATTTGGATGAAATTTCAAGAGATAAATTAATACCATTAGGTGCTTGCATCCTGGGGGTTTTGTCATCATGCTTCTATGTGCAGATCATTATCCTGGATCATGGTGGGAAACTTTTCTACCAATGACTAATAATTGGAACCATATGTAGGGCTTTTCCTAGATGTCAATTCTTGCTACCTTGTTACTGTATAAATGAGATCCATGGTGCCTCAAAATTCCTTTCTCTTATTATAGCTTATTTATTGATTGATTTAAAGGGTTTTCAGTTTTGACTGAAGATATTTATTACTGGATGCACTAAATGCCAGCAAGATTCTGAAATATTCCAGTTTCTTGGATGATTTCAATATAATATAATGTTCAGCCCAAAATCTGGGAAAGCAAACAAATTAAAAGCAAGGTATTTCCAGATCTCCTGTTTCTTAGGAACACTGATCATGTCGGCAGCTTATTATTCATTTTATATTGCCTTTAAGTGGCTGATCTTTGACAAATGCATACTTAATATGTTGTTGATGTTGCATGCTACCCGGAGTCTTTTGGGATTGGGGTGGGATATAAGCACTAATAAATAAATAAGCTAGTGGGGGACAGTAAAAAAGTCAAGATACTGGTCTTAGTGGTGCAATCAAAGCCTCAATCCACTATATAGGCTGTGATGTTGATGAACATACAAAAGCTGATGAAGCTTTTGTTGCGCCACTGTGACTACCATATTGACTTTTTTGACTCCTCTGCAGGCACCACTGATATATAAAATGCTGCTCAATCTTATGCCTATGGTTCAATGATCAGAAATCTCCTCTAACACCCTTGCCGTCATGCATAGGTTCTCTGTTCTTTCATTTATGGAGCTAAGCAGATTCATGTTATAACTGTTCCAATGCTTTGTTTTCAAAAAACTATAAGCACAGTTAATGCAAGGCATAATGTGATACCTTACTTAAAGGAGGATTCACAAACTAGGTTGAAATACATACCAATCAGAAAAGCTTAGATGATAATCCAACTCCCCAGGCCTCTCCTTTATTGAACCAAAAAATTCTCAACCCCACTCTGATCCGATCCAGATCTCATGTACACCTACCCCACTGGCTATAATTTGTTAGTATTTCTTTTAACAATCAGTTATTAAATATATTAATTGTATCACATCTAATTTGACATTTAGGTAGTAGGGCCAGGGAACACTTCTGTCCGAAAATTTCAAGTGCCATTGCCAGTTATAACAGAGAATGCTGCATCAGAATGGAGAATGACTCGAAGTAGCTTCAGTTGTCCATATGCCCATATCACAGTGAGGATCAGCTACAACACATTAAACTAAATTATAATACATAATCCTGTACAGATCCAGAAAGAGATCAATATGCTGGATGTATTCTCATGACAAGTTAAATGAAAAAGTTTGATTGTGTCACATGTGGACCTTTAATGTTGCTTAAATGTTACCCAAATCTGAAAGAGCTTAATATAATTCTAGTCCATCCTTTTGCCCAGATTGGTGCCCTCAGGATGACGAAATCTACAACACCCAATTTGCAAGCTTGGTAACGGTAACCATTTCAGTGGGCACTGAGATAGTTGAAGACTTTTCCAGATGAATTTGATTTTAACTAGATAGTACTATATATTCCTCCCCATTGCTTGTTCTTAGACAGATGTCAATGTAGTTTTATGAAAAGCATGCAGCTGACAAAAACTGTCAGATACTCAGGTCTGCTATTCTCACCATCTGTTCTGAGTTAAACATCAAACAGAGGGATATCATTCTTTGTAACGTTCAAATCTTTAAGACTGAGCTGGAAAGCCATTCCGGGCCAAAGCTCTTTGGGATGAATAGGTAAACTATTATATCGATGCACTATGTACTTATGTAGAGGTCTAGCTAAATCATGAAATAACCTAGGAAGTGAAAGAGGACTGCTATTATATAATGGGAGAAAGAAGAAAGTCACCCCAGGTGGGAAGTTTTTGGAAGGCATTCAAATGTGCAAATCTAGAATGGGATTGAACCAGTTCTTCACTGGAATCACCAGAAGCAAACAACTCCAGAATGTCTCTTTCCCACTGTGAAGAAACAGTGGCCACTTATATATCACCTTAGTTAAAGGGGAAATGTGCAGATTCATTCCATGCAGCTTAACAACAATTTGTAGCATGTGCAATATTATTTCTTATAATCAGACAAAGTGTAGTAGTGCAAGTAAAATACCAGTTGGTTTACTGAAATCTCTCCATTACAGCACCTCTTCACCCTGTCCCAGCCTTTAATTACACATGAAATTATTGCAGTGAAGTTCTGGCATTATTAAGCACTCCAAAGCCCCTTAATATTTCTTGCTATGGCTGGTATTTGAGGTTAAAGACTAAATTACACATCTCCCATAATCTATAACAGTCATCACCTTTGTTGGTAAATGTTAAAGTATTTCCATGTGGCCAGCAGAATTGGCTTATATGCCATAAAATGCCTTCTCAATTGATACAAGGCTACAAATTACATTCCCACATTGCACAGCCTAAGTGGCCCTTTCCTTTAATTGGCTTTACAGGCAATTATATTTTCATTTCAAGATTGGAGATTGTTTAAAAATAAAAGTGCTTTTGAACTTTACTGGGCTGGAGTCAGTATTACTAGAGGTCCAAGAAAATATAGACTTTTTCCTGGACTAAAATCAAGCAATTCATAAAGATGGCTAATTTTCTGAAATCCTTCAACAAAATGAGCATCTTAAGCAGAATTATCTGTATTTTCATTGGCTTCATCTTGGCAGTTCAAAAAATCCCAGGGGGAATTTAATACAATACAAAAACGCAGTCTTGTGAGCTGGGGAATATTACAACACACAAATACACATTTTCTTTGGAGGTTCTTTTGTTCTGTATCAGAAAACCTGGGTAACCTTCCATAACTTTTTGCTTTCCAAATAGTGAACTATAGTTTCATCAAACTTCAGCCAGATAGCCACTGAATTGAATGTTAAGCATCACTAGCTTTGATGCCCCCTTTGCCTCCAGAAACACTGTCTGCAAAGGGAGGGTCAAAACAGGCAAAATGGTGGCAATGTAGGGGCCGGGGCTTCACTTGCAATGCAAGTGATTGACATTTTGCCCTTTTTCAAACAGATTCCACCCCCAACCCCCACCCCACGAATGCTGCTGGCCTCTAGACAGAACTGAAAAAGGAAATGTACCTCTAATCCACAAAAGTCTACATACTAATTGCTTTTTTTCATGATTTTTTTGAATAAACTGTAATTTCCTGGTCTTGCATTAAGTTATTAAACCATAGCTTTGGATTTACGAGAATGCATCCTCTATAGTTTGAATTCATAAAGCATAGCTTGCACATCACAGTGCTTACATTCCTACAATCTCAAAACCTAACAAACCGTATTATGATTCAGTAGATTATAACAAAAGAAGGTGGCCAAGTACGCTGGGACTCTCTTTGCTGTTTCAGAGAAATTTTTATAATTGTTCAGTTCTGTTCAATAATTGGCTGAAATGACCAAACATTGGCTGACTCATACATAACACTGAACCATATAATTTGTTTTGTTTTAGTGCTATGTTTGAACAAGGCCATTATGGCTTGTTCCATACAACACAGCTTATAATTACATTATCCATGAATTTGGCCAGTGGGTCAGATCACAGAAGTGGCTACTTTGTACAGAGGACCCCCAAGAGAATGAGTGGCTTCTTGACTAAGTTTGGGAAGTGTAACTTCCCAGTAAACCAAGCTTTTCAGCTTTCCCCTGAAATTGTTCATTTCATATACCTTTGCTCAGCCCAGCAGAATATCCTCAACCCTAGTTTTCTGTCAGAATAGCCGTATATGAATTACTAAGCTATAAGCCACCATACAGATTCCAAGGCGCTTTGAATCTCCTATAAAGGAATTATTTGCTGGATAACTGAAAACATCTGGGTACATAGAATTTCCTGCTGCAGTTCAGCCTTAATTTCCTCAGATAGTAAAAACCAAAAGTGAAAGAAAGCACCAATCAATCAAAGTAAGTTGCCACTGCAATATGGCAATGATAGTACTTTCTAAATTAAATTTTAATCCCCACCTGATGGTTCCCTC